CGTTAATAATTCCTCACACTAGTTTACCGCACCATTTTATTACTAGAACCGATCAAATTATGTAGCATCTAACAATGAAATATCATGCAAAGCATGAAAACTCTACTTCATATTATCATATAATCACAAAAAAGCCGAGTATCCAATATTCAAAGTGAGCTTCCTCGTCAAAAAGGGGCTGAAGTTACTCTTCTAATCGCCCTATCGCATAATTACGTCACAGTGTGTTTACATTGCAGATACATGCTCAGAAACACTCGAACTTTGGACCTATTAATGTTCTTTCCGAGAGTAGAACTTTAGTGTATCTAGATTCAGGAGGAGCCGACGGGTTCCTGGGAGAAATTGTTCTTATGTCCCAGTCAGCTGTAAGTCACAACTGGTTGCCAGCGAGAAATTCAGGAAAAATAACTCTTCATACAATGCATACTTTCTAAGAATTTTTGCATTGAAAATAAAAATAACATAAACAAAAAAAGATATTGGCCGTTTTTTGGCCATAAGAACATTATATAAACCTTTTTGATCATAAGAAACATTTGCCATGCAGGAACAGAATTATTTTAAAGAAGGCAGGGCGCCATATTTGCTTTGTCAACAATGAAGCTCAAAATCCCTTCCCCAGGAAAAAAATCGTACAAGAATAGTTATTTAGAAGAACAGACCCCGTCGGCTCCTCCTGTAGATTTGATATGTACATCGTGTATCAATCTATGCAAACACTCTGATCTCCTCTGGCGACCATAATCCTTAGCGTCGAAACAATAGAATGTTTGTTTTAGACGTAATTATGCGATAGGCCAATTTGGTGAAGTTCTAAAGTTCTGCTTTTTTCCTTTTCTGTTTGGTTTGGTTTAGTTTTGCTTTTGTTTTATTATCATATAATCGCATAAAAGGCGAGTTTCCAATATTCAACGCGAGGTCCCTTTGGACAAAGGGCGTTAAGTGTTGTTGACAGCTTTTTGATGAGTGGAATATTTGTTTCTAATTTAGTGAAATTCTAAAGTTCTGCTTTTTTTCTCTTTTTCTTATTTTTAGGGGGCTTTGTTTTGTTTTTTGCTCCCAAAATTCTTAGTATATCTGAGATTAATAAAAGAAATGCCTGTTGTTTTAAGAAGTATTTATAATGATACATATTCCAATGACGCCAGAAAATGATCAAAACTCAAGTGTAACCACGAGCGTGGCGATTCATTGTCGATAAGCGTACAGACCATAGAAAAGCGAATTCGATTTGTTAAGTTACCAATTCAAAACTTCACTTACAGTTTTTGGAGATACGTTTGGTATGGAGCTTCGGAGTGAGCTGAATCTTGACCTTGTTGTAAACACTTTTAAATTAAAAGACACAAAGATATCCAACTGTTGTCTCTAAATTAGCACATCTTTGAATTAAGAAAGTCTCTAGAAAGAGACTCCCAGCTCTTCCGATCACGTTAAGATCTCTAGAAAGTGTTGATGAAGCAAGAGAATGGCAACCATGAAACTTAAACGAAAAAAATCGATACAAAAGAAAATGTAATTCACGGGGTATACTAAACAGAAAATTATTAAGTAATTCTTAAGCAGGTGTCTGCTATAATGCCCGCAATGGGAAATATTTTAGAGCCGCTTCGCAAAAAAACAGACAAAATTGAAACTTTTTGACAAGGCTTAAAAATTAATTTTTTTCATATTTTGCATATCGATAAGGCATGATTAGGTAACAATCGCTGTGCAATTGGTTTTTGAAGATATTTCATTTTTCCCAAGAATCGCTAATCAATGTGACATGCTGGTCCTTACACGTCTAAAGTGCTTTTAACATACCAGAGTTGTGGAAGTGAAATTTTCTAACCCTGCCTGTATCAGACCGTCCCCCTTCAACCATTACCACAACAATCTATCATTGCCACAGCAGCCTATAATTAGACCATTGTTTCTTCATTTTGAATGGATAATGATTAGGATATTTTATAGGCAGTTAATAATAAAAATAATTGGTTCACAGTATAAACAGATAAAAAAAGAGTTTTATTTGGTTCAATAGCCACAACAAAAATGACAAACAAAGTATATAAAATGTACAAAGTGAACAATAGATGCATCAAATTCAGGCAGTCGAAAAATCTCAAAGTGCCTTGCTTGTGACTAATATACAAACTTGTCGAATAGTATTATTTCGGTCTTTAGTGTATGTCCCTTGATGTATTTATTGAAATTAAGGCTAATCCTTAATTTTACAACAAAATCGACTGCCTGACGTTTAGTTCTAGTGCCGTGGCTTGTGTTACAAACTTGTCGAACAGTCTTATTTTGGTCTTTATTGCATTTCCCTTGTTGTATTAATTACAAGCCGCCAATGGCGACACAACTCGAAGATTCGGTTAGACAAGTATACCGTGGACATAAATCTGTATGAAGCCTCAGACTTTGTTCAGACCTCAAAAATCRCATTTTGTGTGTTTAAAAAGCCATTTCTGTATCAAAACACCTGGCCATCTTGGTTACGCATTTCTAAATGCCCGTATGTTTACAGAAAAAATAAGTGACCTATTAACTAGTCCACCTCACCTCACACACCATCATTTACATCCTTCCTATAACTCTTCGATTGCTAAGTGAACTATTAACTAGTCCACCTCACCTCACACACCATCATCTATCTCCCTCCTATAACTCTTCGATTGCTTCGCAGTCTTCGAGTTAAAAATGACTGTTGTTCCGGCGATTTTTTTAAGAAAAAATTAGACTGCCTGACATTTAGCTCTGGGACTAAACGTCAGGCTGCCTGATGTTTAGACACTCCGAAAAGCAAAGATTGCTAAAAATAGCACTCAAAATAGTCAAAATTTCTAACGACCTCATGTAAAATATAAAATAACCATTTCAAAAATTTAAATTGCAGCTCTTTCTATAGTGTTCTGGACCCGCCCCAGCCTACGCAACCCAAAGTGATTTCCTCAGAATAATTTTTATTTCTTTGCAAAGCTCTTATCTATAGTAGTTACTCCGAATTTCATAATTGCAAACAAAATACTTGCACATAAATAAAGCAAATATTCCTAAAGCAACCCCCTTCTAACGATAACCACCCTATATTAGAAGGCAGTTTCCTGCTGATTAAGGCTACGAAGGGAGGATATTCCTAAAGCAACCCATTCTAACAATAACCTCCCTTAGTAAAGGCAATATGGTGCTGATAAGGGTTGCGAGGGGAGGATATTCCTAAAGCAAACCCTTCTAACAACATCCACCCTAGTAAAGGCCAATATGGTGCTGATAAGGGCTGCGAGGGGAGGATATTTCTAAAGCAAACCCTTCTAACGATAACCACTCTGTTAAAGCGCAATACCTTTCGATTAAATTTTTCAACCCCAATACCAAAAGATGATCATCGTCAACCGTCATGGACATATATATACAAAAATAATATATAGATGTTTAGCCTATTTGGTTGGTTATTTTTCATGCTTTAAGCCAGTTTTCACTTTAGTTGTTTTAGGAAATCAAAAAGAATCARATCTAGAATCGAGTGAGGGATTTTATAAGCGTTTTTATTGTTGCAATGAATACAAATAATACTTCAAAAGCCTTGAAGAAGAAGTGCACTTTAAATTCTTAAAACCATATTATTTAATCCGCTATAGACAAATTGACTGCTTAAAGTGCATCATTCATGTACATTAAAAGTGTGCCACTCCTAGAGCTTTTTACTTCCATATAGGATTATACATATCTTACGCTTTCTTGACTTCTTTTAAAAAAGCTGCTCATCTAAACAGAAGTTTGAACGAAAAAATGCATTGAAAAACGTAGTGCTTACCTTTTTTTTCCCAAATCTGAGATCGACAGATTTTATGGATTTGAACATATTTTCTTTGAAATGTAATGTTGAATGTTTTTAATGCTTAATTGTATGGTGCTAAATCAATCTAATAAATRKACAGGAAAAAGGTTTATGCGAAAACCTTATATTTTTGTGAACAAAATTAATTCATAGATGTTCAGAGTTTTTGGCAAATGAATGGATGTTCATCAGAGCATGACTCTAGGTTCCATGTTAGAATCGATCCCTTGCCCTTTCTCAAATACACGCAATCCTTGCCAGGGTCCTGATTTTGTACTGCAGACATGTATGTCAGCGGTTGGTCGTTGGACCACTTGAGYGTGCCTTCCTCGTCTATGTCATTCAATCCGATCCATGCTCCAAAATAGTGACCATCTGAAATAGTCAGCGGTTGAAATCATTTAACACCTATGTGTGAATGGTCTGATAGATCTTTTTATATTATATATCTAATTGAAAAATGGTGGAGAGCCCGGACCAGAGACGAGGAGTTGAGATCAATTGATAAAAAATGATTATTACCTTTCAAATTCTCAATCTCAGGTTGTTTCATTTCTTGCGAAAGAGCAACCAAATCACTTATCCAGCCGTTAAACATCAATTTTCCATCGTTCCCGCCAATTTCGTAATTGGATTCTCCGGTGTTAAAGAGATCAACGTTTTCTTGAGTTGAATTCAATATTTTCTGAACGGAATTTYCGTATAATATATATTGCTTTGTTTGACGATTCCAAGTGATGGCCGCATGATGCCATTGTCCAAATGGGATATTACTAAATTGAAACAAACGCAAAAACAATTTATATATTTCGAAAATCGAATCAAAATTAAGTGAATAGTAGCTTGGCAAAGTGCCACAGGATGCAGGCCTCATTTTCAAAAAAAAAATATATAAAAATAAAAAATAAAAAAACTATTTATGCTAATTTGATGATGTTAAGATTATACAAAAATCCAAAATTGTTTATTTTGACCTTATTGTTTGTAGAAAATATCTTTAGGGTTACCAAAAACAATCTTTCATTGGTCGTGAGGGGTACATGTTAGACAACTCATGATAAAACACAGTTTAATTTGAATTTGATGACATCAAGATGAAAAAATCAAAAATTTCATCTCTGATATTTGAACCTGCATTCACTGAAGATGCTTAGCCATTCTATTATTCTTTTGCTTGTTCTTTTGACTCTATTTTGTAAGGAAATTCACTTCACAAGCACTTTTACTCGGTGTGAGCAGTATACTTTTGTCTTTGCCTTAGGTAGGAGAAGCCGACGGGTTCCTGGGAGAAATATATCTGTTCTTATGTCCCAGCCAGCTGGAAGTCACAACAAGAAATTCAGGAAAAAAGAATTCGGCTCCAGGCAAAGAATACTTTCTAAGAATTTTTTCCAGGAARATATAAATTTCCTAAAGAGAAAAAGATAACCCGTTTTTGACCATCATATTTTAAGAAGGAAGAGCACCACGCATCTGCTAAAGGTGAAACAAATTCGTACAAGAACAGTTAATTAGAAGAACAGAACCCGTTGGCTCCTYCTGCTTGGGCAGTTTGTAYAAAGTAAAATTCTACATACGTTATTGAAAATCCTTTCGGTACCAAGTGTTCRCCRTCAGAATTAAAAAATGCAAATGACATGTAATGATAGTATATGTATATTGTGAACTGTTGTTTTGAGTTKCTCGTTTTATCGTTGAAGATGTTCCAAAATCCATAGTTGCTTCCGGCACCTTTAAACCAAAAAGCTATGGTAAAGTCGCTTTTACTAATGTCGAACTTTGGAACAGTTGCGTAACCATCAACTCCGTCAAAGTAAACGGCCTTTCGGTTGTCCYTGTTTACTATGGCTGCTCCTCTGTGCAAACTGAAAAAAAAAAAATTATTTGATTCACTGAATTTTTAAATGGTGACTACTGAATTCCTTTTTTTTTTTGCTCTGTTCAGTTAAATTATTTCAGAAATTCTAAAAGTGGTTCTGTAATAGCACTTTAAGAGGAGAAGTTGTTGATTCTATACCTCCATTACATGCTAGACAGTGGCATTGTTAGAGTAAAAAAAAATAATAGTAATATTAATAAAATTAAATAAATTAAATTACAATCCTGTATTGGTGCATATTGGCATTTCAAATTCACCATTCCAAATGAAATGGRATGYAATTAGTCTCTTGAACTGACAGTGACAATGGAAAGACACTGTGATCTACATGGTGCACATTGGGTGTTGCTATTACCTGTAAGTCTCGATTCGTGTGTCCATCAAGAAATCATCTGTAATTAAACCCACATGAAAAGATTACATTTTGAGATATGATTAACGAATTTGCTCTCGATTTAAAGGATATGACACTCGATGAGACATAATATAGATCGAGCTAGTACTCCGGCCAAAGTGGGCTAGTATGTTAATTATACACTGAAAACAATTGAATTCAAAATCTCTAATGGAATTTAATAGACTTATAGARACATCATTAGTTACTATAAGAATTCCTTACAGTAAAGCATGGTTTCTTGGACGAATCTATATTCTGTGTGCGATCCAAAAGATGCCAGGTCACCGCCAAGAGAGTTACAATGGGCTTTTGCACCGGTCCATGTTGTTTTGTTGTAGATCATCTTGAACAGTGACGAGTTGAATTTGAACCATCCATCATCTTCTATAGCTAAAGAGCATATATTGGTAAACGATGATTCGATAGACTCTTTGCCAGAACGGCCTTCACATTAGGATTATTGTGTAATATTATTGAAAGAAAGTATGACCATTGAAAAACTAAAGCCTATGTGCGTTCATTAAACTTTGTAATCACTTCCTTTGTTTACAAATTGATCTCTTGTTGATAAAGCTTTCTGATTGGTACAAAATCAAAGATGCGTCTTTTGAAGCAAGTTGGAAGTAAGTTCTAATATAAAATGCATTTTTAATATTCATATTTTACAAAGAAATGGAGAATATATTTGCAATAACCCCAGGCAGAGCTTGTTAACGCATCACGCGCGGTTTGAAGCCGTATCCGGCACCACTACTATCGCCATCTTTTACAGGATAAACTTCAGTAATTCAGNATTTTGTTTGATAGCCATTTTTGAGAGAGACCTATTGTCGTTCATAAGATTTATGTATAGTTTAAAACACGAATCGTTAATATAACATCTGCATCGGTGAAAATTACCTTTTTGTGCACATGACTTTCCTTCACAATTCAGGAAAAGCTGTCAAATATACAGCAGAGTAAATCGATTGTTAAATTTACAAATAATTCATAGTAATTCCAAGTAGATCTTATTCACAGTAATTGCCATACTTCAATACAAATTAACGGTTAACTCCAGGGGGAAACATTAGAGGAAAGGGGAAATTGTGAGATAATAGTACCCATGACAGTACGTATTAAATTTAAGAACTCTTAAACGTCCGCTTGTTTCTCTGCCCTCTGATATGAGCACGGAGTTGAAAAACACGAGAGAATGAAGCTTAGACTGTTTTATAGTTCTTTGATAACATTTTTTCGGCGTTTTTCGAGCGAAAAACAAACTTTGCCGGCAATCAAATATATAAACACGGTCGTCAGCCAATCAGAGAACGCGTTATACACCTGATTACGAAAACGTTGTTTTGTAATTATTTCCTAAATAGTAAAAGTTCTTTTTTCTTGGACAACGTTTGTGTAATCAGGTGTATATCAAAATTTTATAATTAAGAAATATAAAACTRCATCGTAAAACTGCTCAACCATATCCAAATGAGAAGTATTTTTCACCCTGGAAGAGGCAAATACATATATAATAAAAACTGTAGCTATGGCGGCTATCTGCCTTTATGTATGAGTCAATTCCAAAGGTGCCCATCCCCCCTCCCCCCGGGCGAACCCCCGGGCATTTGACTTTTCGAAAAAAAAGTGGTCAAATTCCCCACCATATGGGTAAAATTGACAGTCAAATGCCCAGTCAAATGCCCGCCCCATAAGTCAGTTTTTCACGCTAGTTTTCGAGTGTTTTTGTTGCTTTTTATATCGTGATTTCTCATCGTGAAAGTACAAAAGATCGAGAATGTTCCCAAACATGATTGTAAGCCTCGTGGCTGCTAATAGCGATCAGTGATCATGTGAAGCGCCTTTGAACTGTAAGGATATCGGCGCTATATAGATAATACGTATTATTATTATTAAAATGCTTAGGTTCCCGAGATATTTTTATTCTTAACTTAAGCTTAAAAGTTCGTATTGTGTCWCGAAATAGCGKTTTCGCWTCTGAATCGATAATTTCCAAGATGGTCGCCTACTCGTCAAATGCCGGCGTCTGAACCTAAATCAGAGTCAAATTCCCCACTGTACGGAGGTAAAGTTGTGTCAAATGCCCGGGGTTTGCCCGGGGGGGGGGGGGGGGGGGGGGGGGGATGGGCACCTTTGGAATTGACTCATACATTATTCATCTGGTTTGAAATGTAGGTTATGGACAAATGATGCAAGTTGATAATTATTGCATGGTATAGTCTTTCTNTGTCCGTTTATTCAGCCTACCTTTGGTTCAGCGTATTCATAGCCTTCTCTTCTCACAAACGAGTCTTTGCTTTGTTTCTTGTTTGACCAATTCAACTCGCAACTGAACGTACCATTGTGAAAATTAATATAGTTCACTGAGAAACACCTTAGCGTTTCCTGGCAAGCTACCAGGCAGTCGGCAATGAACACAGGCAGGGTCTTTATCACGTGACCAATTAGGGCAAAGTCGTGGTCACGATGGAATGTCGATGTCGAGGTCCAAATGTTGTCAAGGTTGATGAGGTTACAGTTGACGATGGTGACGGTTGTGATCAGCAAGGCGGTGAAGATTGTAAACCACATCGTCGTCTTGAAGCTAGAAATTCAGTCATCCAATTTTATTGGTGATTTTTTTAATTTGATTTTTTTTTGTTTCCTCGTAATAACTTTGGGTCATCACTATATCATTTCCAAATTCAGGTAAGAAAAAAAAAGCGATCATATTTTCATATTTTGCTCAAAACATGGCAATCTAGATCATTCTAATCGTCGCCTGATTCCGTTAACAAGATCTCCATGCCAACACCCGATCTCATTGCAATGTATAGTTGAACATTTATAAACTCTAAATAACTTAAAGTTACTTTAAACGAAAGCTTTACAGGGACCAAAGATTCCAAATCAGGAAACCTTTTTCAGTATTGCATTTTTTAAATACCAAAAATTAGATTAGCCAATCAACGGCCGTCATCGAATGACGCCATCGAATACATTTTGTAAAACAAATTTAAGATGGTGGTCAAGTAGGTGCTGGATGTGTACGAAAAACTTTGAAAAAGAGACGCTCCACAATCTTAGTTTAGCTAATTGAGTTTGTTCCAATTGATGAATCAATATGAAAAACCAATAACGGTTTATTGAGATATTAAACCCCTGCTGATCGCACACCGTCGCGGCCATCATAGAGACTCCCATAAATGATGCAGAAATATCTCGACAGCCACGYTGATATTTTTATAACGTCAAAAAAAAATTAGAGCGAGAAATGAAAGATAAGGAAAAATTGCTCGTGTAAATGGGGTAAAATTGACATTTTTTCTCTGTCAAGGAAAAGCCAACATGTTCGCTTTTCCTCTTGACAAGGAAAAATTGTCAAGGAGGAAATGTGCTCGTGTAAATGGACAACAAGGAAAGTGTTTCAAGGAAAAAGTGTCAAGTAAAACTTGTTGACTATTCACACGGGCAATTTTTCCTTGTCAAGGAAAACGTATTCTTCGTTTACACGAGCAAAGAAATATTGTCAAGGAGGAATTGTCAAGGAAAACTTGGTGACCATTTACACGGACAATTTTTCCTCTTCAAGAAACTTGCCAAGGAAAAATTGCTCGTGTAAACGGCTCTTAAAGCTGCAACTCTGAATTAATTTAACTCTTCAGCTGTTGTCTTAAGGTTTTCAAATATAGTGTTACAATGAAATGATACTAATTTTCAAATCTTTACCAATATATATTGACAATTCAAAATTTTACTTACAGGTTTTTGAAGTTTGATATGCAGCTCCGGTCTGAACTGACTAGTCGTCTAAATCACCTTGTTATAAACACTTCTAGATTAATGAGACATATCCAGCTGTTCTCGATTAGCACAGCTTTGAATTAAGAAATTATGTTTGGAAAGAGACTTCCAGATCTTCTCAACAACACGTGCACATCTCTAGAAAGTGTTAATGAAGCAACTGAAGATAATCAATGTAAAAATTAAATAGACAACCATGATACCCTAAAAGAAAAGAAAAACGAGACAAAAGAAATTGAAAGTTTCGAAGTGTACTGAACAGAAAAGAATTGAGTAATTCTTAAGCAGGTGTCTGCTACAATTTTCTGCTACAAGCTTGATGTTTTTGAATTTTTTTTTTTTTAACTAAAAATTTTTTTTCTTAAAAAATAGCACCAATCAAAACGTAATGTATTATTGCTAATAACTGGTCTATGCAAAACCCCGCAAGCACCGTTTGGTCAAACATTGGCTCTTTTAAATTTATTGAAGAGCTTATAATCAAGTTGATTGTTTACATGCAATTATAAAGCTAAATATCTCTAAATAGTGGCACGTAAAACAGAAAAAAACTGAAGAAATGTTATCCCTAAWAATATAGTAGTAAAAAACGTATAATYATAAAGTGTGAAAAATGCAGCCTCTACTCATGCAAGAAGATGTTGGGTTGTCGCATGAAACGATCGTTCCATTAAAATTAGGTGGACCTAATTATTTTATTTATGTGTGTTTGTAATTAAAACAGTGCCAGCCCTTCTASCAATAAACACCCTATTAAAGGCCAGTGTGGGGCAACCCCTTCTAWCAATAACCAACTATTAAGCGCGATACCTTTAGATTAAAATTTTCAACCCCATTACCAAAAAGATGATCGTCAAACGTCTTAAAATTATCACGGATAGACTCTAAAAATCGCGGACAATTTATAAACAAATTGTCAAATACTGACTTGTCTCTTCATCATAGGACTTTTCCATGGATGAGCGAGCTCCAAAGTTCGTCGAAATAATTATTGTTATCTGAATTTGTCCGCCATTTTTCGAAACGATCTATTACTATATCCTCTAGTCTATAAAGAATATATTTCACAGTTTTTCGCAAATAAATGAATGTTCTTCGGAACATGACTCAAAGCTCCAAGTTGTTATCGAACCCTTGTCTTTTCTCAAGTACGCGCAGTCGCTACCAGGGTCCTGATTTTGAACTTCAGACAGGTATGTCAGCGGTTTGTTGTCAGACCACTTGAGGGTGCCTTCCTTGTCGATATCATTCAATCCAATCCATGCTCCAAAATACCGACTATCTGAAATAGAAATATCTGTCATAAATTGAATAATTTAAATTTATATGATCGGCATCCAGTACTTTTAGTCTTCTTTTTCTATTTAAAAGCACAAAATGTTTTCCGAGAGACTGATTTCAAGCGATGGTTAGCGAAACTGATTTTTGTTTTAATTAAGAAAGCCATGCAGTCTATTTGATCTATAGTCTCCTCTCGCAGCCGTTAGGACGTTCGTTCACATGACACTCTCAATAATAAATGCTGTATAGTTTATTCCAAGACTGCAATATGTACACGTTTGCTGCGTTATAATTTGACAAGCTCAGTCAGTTTCTTTTAGTTCTCATTCCAAATTCAGATGAAACAAAATGGATTTTATCATGTTTCTGAATTTATAATTGTCTTGATCTGTTTCGCACTACACTATGAATGTCCTGTAAATGATCAACAGCTGAAAACGGCAAAGTTACTACTAACTTTCACCAAAAGCATTCCAAACATTCCATTTTCTTTTTCAACTAGCAGGCAGGATGCTCATTCACATTAAGTGAAGTAACATTCATACAAGGTGTTTTTCTAACTGGCTCCCCTACAAGAATGAAAAAAACTCTACCTTTCAAATGCTCGATTTCATTTTGTTTCAGTTCTTGCGGAAGAGCAACTAATTGACTTATCCATCCATTGAGCATCGATTTTCCACCGTCTCCACCAATTTCGTAATGCGTCTCTCCCGTGTCAAAAAGGTCCACGTTTGCTTCAGGTGAGCTCACTGATTCAGTCTTCAGTACTGCATTGAGGTATGTTTTGCATGTCTTTGCCTGTCGATTCCACGTGACAGTCATGTGATACCATTGCCCAATGGGGAAATCACTAAATGCAGATCGGAAAATTACTTATAAGATCAATTAAAAAAACACACATATCAAAAGCATTACAAACTTTTTTCAAAGACTTCAAGATCAGGTCAAAATTGACTGAAAACCGTAAGGAACAATGTCTCCAAGTATTTACGCATTTCCTTTTGTCATTTTAATTTTTCATCAGTTAGATTTAACATAAGATTTAGTCCTCAAATCTCAAATTTAGGCAATGACCAGATCATTTGTAGCCAGCTTACCTTGTCAAAAATTTTGATTCACCTGTAATCAGTGTATTAGCGGTGTTAAAAAAGTTGAAGTAGATTTTCGTATTATGGACATATATCGAAAACTGTCTCACTTTGAAGCTGATTCTGTCGTTGAAGATGCTCCAATATCCATATATGCTTCCGGCACCTTTTAACCAGAAAGCGATGGTATAATCGGTTTTGCGAATGTCGAACTTTGGTATTGTCGCATAGTCATCAATCCCATCAAAGTATATTGCCTTTCGGGAATCCTTGGTTTGAATGGCCGCTCCACCATGCAAGCTGAACAAAGTTGATAATTAGTTCTTTCAAAAAAAAGTCATATTCAAATAATTCTCTTTGGTTTGATGTTTTAGGGTTCAGATTAATAGGCACCTGTACAAATAATGTCTGGCAGAGAACAACCTGTCCAGTCATTTTCTCAGCCGACAGTCGGCTAACAGCTATAGTACCTGGAAAAAATCGCGCACCATAAAGGTTGTAAATTTGATGGAAATATGTTGTAAGTGTCCAAAATGATGGAAATTTGATGGAAATTATTTACATCAAATTTACATCATTTTGGACACTTACATCATATATACATCAAATTTACAACCTTTATAGCGCGCGATTTTTTCCAGTGAGTAGTGATAAAAAATAAGGGTTAAATTAATTCGGTCTATGAAAGGAAGGTGGCTTTCCTCACTACCTGAAAGTTTCAAGGCGTGCGCTAATCAATGAATCGAAGCTATCTGAAAACAAAATTGAAAACAAAATCAGATCAAAATAGATAATGCATATCTTAAATGTGTTTTTAAACATTCTGGTGGTTGGGTGGTCGGTAGGTTATTCTTTGATCAACATGACTGTGGAAGTCAGCTGAACAATAATAATTTCAAATGATTTGTCTAATAGAGGACAATTTCTTCTACGTACGGTAAAGCAGGGTTTCTTGAACGAATCGGTATTCTGTATGTGATCCAAAAGAAGCCAGGTCGCCGCTAAGAGACTTGCAATAGGAGCTTGCATTACTCCAAGGCATTTTTTTGTAATAAATCTTGAACTTTGACGAATTGAATTGAAACCAACCATCTTCTAGAGCTAAACAGAAAGCATTTCAATGAAAATACCCTCAGGCAAAAGAGAGTCCCGAGAAATAGAAATGAAAAAAAGATAGAAAAGTGCAACAGAGGCAGTAAGCTCTCTTCAGTTATATTGTAGTACAAACCTTCCTTTTTTTCGCACAATTCCCCTTCACAATGCAGAAAAGGCTGTATAAAATGAGAAACTGAGTGTAGTAAGGAATAGCGCAAT